ATCGGCCCTGCTCTGTGCGTGACAGGGGGGAGCTCCCCAACCCCCCTAATGGGCCCTGCTCTGTCAGTGACAGGGGGCAGCGCCCCAAACCCCTGATTGGCCGTGCTCTGTGCATGATAGGGGAGGCGCCTCAACCTCCCCATCGACCCTGCATTGAGTGTGACAGGGGGTGGTGCTCCAACCCCCCAATTGGCCCTACCTTGAGGGTGACTAAGGGTGGCATCGCAACCTCCCGATCCGCCCTGCTCTGTGCATGACAGGGGGCGGCGCCCCAACTCCCCAATCAGCCCTGCTCTGAGCCCGACCAGGGGCTGCACCTAGGGATTGGGCCTGCCCTCTGCCACCTGGGAGCAGGCCTAAGCCAGCAGGTCTTTATCTCCCGAGGGGTCCCAGACTTCGAGAGGGCACAGGCCGGGCTGAGGGACCCCCCTTCTCTCCCCCAAGTGCACAAATTTTTGTGCACCGGGCCTCTAGTTACTATATAAACAAAAAGGATACATCCATTAAAAAATAATGGGCAGAGAGGCTGTTGTAATTAGAAAGGAGGAGAGATCCCCGGGGTCCCCGCCGCTGTGCGACCGCTCCCCATCCCCGTCCCTCTGAGCGCCCCGCCGCCTGGCCTCTCTCACCACCGCCGTCTCTCCTTCCCCAGCAGCCGTGCCTGGACCATGTTGGTGGAGACCGCGAGCGGCCCCACGCAGGACCAGGTGGAGATCCTGGAGTACAACTTCAACAAGGTCAACAAGCACCCGGACTCCACCACGCTGCTGCTCATCGCGGCCGAGGCCAGCCTTTCCGAGGAGGAGACGCAGAAATGGTTTAAGCAGCACCTGGCCCAGTGGCGGAAGTCGGAAGGCCTACCCTCAGAAAGCAGATCCGTTCCGGACTAAGGAGATAGTCGGCATTGGCAGCTTCCCTCCATGAAGACCACCTGCTTTTTCTCTCCTCGGCTTAACCAAGCTGTTTTGGTTTGTCTGTGTAGTGTTGTATGTTCACTGTTAGCTGTCCTGCTATTTAACACAATGTTGTATTTTTTTAATGTACATAACTAGAAAATACAATAACAATAGGAAGCTAAGTGCAGCTTCTGTGTAAAGCAGTGGCTTGACTAGGCAAGTGATGTGGCCTGCCTTTCCCTTTGGGTCATGATGATAGATGGTGTGAAAATCATCTAAGTTTGCTTTTGATCATCACCTCCCAATAACAATTTACTTTCAACATCCATTTCAGAGCAGGCAAGGTCTCTGTTGAAAAGATAACGTGACCAAGAGGGAGAAACATTTTCCTTCTGAATCTACTTCCCTAAGTTGTTTTCCTTGTGTTTCATTGAATACAGTGAAGTTGAATGAGAATACAGAGGAATATTTGAGTCATTCCGATTTCATTAAGTAGTTCCTTGGATTAAAGCTGCATTAACTTAGAAAGAACCCAGTTAGGCTAAAAGACAGAAACTGCACAAGTAACAAGACAGAAAAGCAAGTAACTAAGAAAAAAAATCTACTAAAGTAATTTGATTTACATTATTTAAATACTTTTGTTAAGTTTATTTTGCTAGCCAAAGTGAACTGCCTTTTGTCTCTAAAATGATATTCTAAATAAAACATTAACTTTTTGTGGGGGGAAAAAAAAAAGAAAGGAGGAGAAAGTTTTTCTGAATTGTTGCCATCAATATTGACACCTTAAGGGAAAAAGAAAGAGACACCTAAGGAAAGGATGATAAAGAATTTCCGTATAAAGGAATAGCAAAAGCTCCAATCAAGAGGAACAATCCTGGTTTATTCTAGCCAGTGACAGAAAGTGTGGCTAGAATTTTGTGAATGCACATAATATAATAAAGCTGAAAGAATAAGCAAGGATCACATCACTCAAGAGCCAGATTGTGTAGTACCTTGATAGCCATGTTCATGATTTGTGGCTGTATCTTAAAGTCATGAGAAGCCAGAGTGGATTGTAAACATGCATTTATTTCTTCTTATGCTGGGTTCTTATCTTGTTCTATTCATCCTCATTCACAAAGAATTTTCAACGTTTTTTTTTTTCTTCCAATAATATTTTGAGTTGTTTAAGAACCAGGGCTCTGCTCCTTTATTTACTTATCCACAAAGCTAGCATAACACTGGTAAAGTTTTTAAGACATAATTAGCTTTAAATGAACAATTTAAACTTTGGAAGATTCAATAATGGCTATTTCCCCTGACTTATGTATATGAATTGCAATCAGAGACACCGAAAGTATTGACCCAGTTTCACAATCTTGTATCAATTACTATTCTCCAAAACTCATTTTTAGAGTAAATTGAATCTTTAATTATACACTTTATAAAGTGTATTCCAGGTTTTCTCATTAAAAGAGGGGTGCATTATAATGGACACCAGATCCTTTTTAACACAATTTATCTTATGTATATGAATTGCAATCAGAGACACCGAAAGTATTGACCCAGTTTCACAATCTTGTATCAATTACTATTCTCCAAAACTCATTTTTAGAGTAAATTGAATCTTTAATTATACACTTTATAAAGTGTATTCCAGGTTTTCTCATTAAAAGAGGGGTGCATTATAATGGACACCAGATCCTTTTTAACACAATTTATAAAATATCAAATATATATTTTAAAAAATATATAAATTAAATATATATTTAAAAGCTAAGATTGTATTTAGTTATATTACTTGCATTACCATTATTTTCCTCAGATATTAAAAATATTATTACAGTAATATGAGTTATTTTGTCTAATAAATTACACCACTGGAAATTCTTCAGAAGGCATTAAGCCTAATATGACTTAATATCTTGCCCAAAGTCTATAGTTTTTCTTTTTCTTCAATGCAGTTATTCATATTTATTCCCTTTCTTCTCACAAAAGAAGAAACATCCAGCAAAACATCTGTAATTGTCATTTACACTGGCTCTGAGAGATATGAAATAAGGCACAGAGACAGAGCAAATGCGTCAGGGCTATTTTTTTCCTTGTGATTTTAACATCATCTTATCTCATAATCCCTGTTTATCACAGCACTAAAAAGTCACTTTGACCCTGAGTGAAAAGCTCAGAGAGACTTCATTTCTAACCTGTTATGTCTTTTATTTTTCACTTTGTAGTTTCTCTTTTTTACTAATTTCAAAACTACCCTGCTTTATCATATTCTTCACTCAGTACCTATATTACTTTCTGGGTTTTGAGCTTTGTGAATTTAGACCTGATTCTCATCTAGTTTTACAAATGTTCCTCCACTGGGAAAGAGAAAGAAAAGATTGATTAAGCTCTAACCTGACTTTGAAGTTAGTGAATAGAGAGCCATGATGAAACTCAATCTTAGAATAGTGAAAAAATAACAGAATCTGTTTTTTTTTAAGCAGACATCTTTATACTTTACCCTAGGAGCCCGGTGCACAAAATTTGTGCACGAGGGGGGGGGGGTCCCTCATCCCAACCTGCACCCTCTCCAATCTGGGAGCCCTCAGGGGAGCCCTCTCCAATCCGGGAGTTTCTGTCTGTCTTTGCAACCATATGAGCAAATTGTCTGAGACCCCAACCCAGTTTGGTTTGTTGCTCACAGAATAATAGAGGTCTTTTTTTTTTCTTTGCTCCATTGGTGGAGATTTCCTAGAAGTTGTAGGATATCTTCCTTTTAATTTTTCCTTGACACTTTGACTTTACTTATGGCTCTCACCTTTGCTTTCCCTCCATGCCCCACCCACAACACTAACTTGCTCCAGGCTCACTTTGCTCTAGTGTCTAGGAGATCCCGCAACATGTCTGCCACCAGAACTACAATTCCCAGAATTCCTGGTGCTCCCCATGCTCTGGGCTTCTGCTTCCAGTCCAGGGGCTGCCACCAGAACTACAATTCCCAGAATTCCTGGTGCTCCCCGTGCTCTTGGTTTCTGCTTCCAGTCCAGGGGCTGCACAACCCAAAAGTACTGGGAACTCCAGTTGCCCCCAGGCTGGCTGACAGGACCGGACACTCCAGTGGCGTCCCTGGGACCCCGGCCGCTCAGTGCTGGTGCATGTGCATGTTGGCCACAGGCTTGGAGTGGGTGGGGTTCTGGGGACCCTGCTGGCTGCCCACAGGTCCGCTATCTTTGTCAGGTTAATTTGCCTACTCACTCCTGATTGGCTGTGGGCGTCACAGAGGGATGGTCAATTTATATATTTGTCTATTATTAGTATAGATTATACAATGTTTGATAAACCTTTCAGCTTTGAGGGGATGAGCTACACTAGGTAAATTACATTTTTCTTCTATATTTGCAATATTGTCTCATCAAATTATATAACTTCTTCAGCATAGTTTAGAGACCCAGAACTTCTATTTCAAATTGGCAAACTCATATTTCATTTACACTGAGAGAAAGCAAGTCTGTCACTATCTATATCCTCACTTTAGTCTCTGTGTGCCAACCCGCTAACAATTCGTTGAATAAAGGATTATGTTCTCAAACTCACAGTTAAAACAGCAATGAGATGCAAAGTTCAATTTTTTAATAACCATTTTCGTTACTTTTATTTTTTAATTGAAATATTAGACACATTAGCAACCATATAGTTGTTGCATGTGGACCTGGGTTTGATAGTAGATTATTTTAAAGGAGAGGCAGTCTGTGCTAATGTTTTTGTGATAAAGACCAAAGAGACTAGGAGGAAGACTAGGAGCTCTAAGAAACAAATTTTAGGCCAACATGTTTGTTGATTGTTTAACATTACTTTTTAGGTTTTCCATAGGAAACATATAATAAAACTAAAAATGCATTTCAAACAATATATTCTGCATTCATTAAACAGCATGTGTTCTATTTCCCCATGTTTGTCTTTACAAAATGATATAAATAAGTTCAAAGTGGTATGTTACTATTTTCTTACTACAAAAAAATGTTTATTTTTATTCAGTGCTGACAATATATCACACACTTTGTTATTTATTTTATTAACTTATCTAATTTAATGTATAAAATTATCCTACAATACACCTGTTTAGGAACTCACTTAGAAGATGCAATATGGCTCCAGTTGTAAAGGGTCTGTAACACCTTGGACTCTCTGTTTAATCTGTGATTGTTTGATGCTCTGTAGCCTCAGGTTTGGCTGCATATTCAGAAAACTGGAATGCTGCCCCGAGGCCAAAGATAAACATCAGGCCCAAGAAGGGGGTTAATGAATGTGCAGTGTGGATAACGGCCTGATGTAATCTAGTAATTTAGAGATGCATTGCTCTTTCTGGTAGTCTACATGACTGCCCACCATATACTTTTATTATTGAAAGGAGTTTTTAGGGGTAAAATAGGAGTTTTTAGGGGTGAAATAGGCAGATTTAGGAAATTAAAAGAATTAAGAGGTCCATGGAAAAAGAACAGGGCTACAGAGTTGTAAAAGGGTACATATCCATACCAAGGGAGCTGGGATCAGCAGAAGTTACATTTCCATATGATAAGGGAGCTGGAAGTAGCAAAAGGTACACATCTATAATAATAAAAGCATAATATGCAAATTGACCAAACGACCGAACAGCAGAATGACTGTGCAGATGACCTTCTGGATGACCATGCTATGACATGCACCGGCACCAGGCCAGAAAAGGTGGGTGTGATGCAATTGGTTGGGGGGCCCTGCCATTGCCCCATGATCACCCCGCAGAGGGAGGCCCAGGCCACCAGCTGGTGGGGAGATTAATGCTGGGGGGGGGTTCGCGATCACCCCAAAGAAGGAGGCCCAGGCCACCCTCTGCGGGCTATCAATCGTGAAACCCCAGCCAGGTGGACAGGGCCTCCCACTGCTTGGCGATTGATTGTGGAGCCCCATGATCAATCACCCCACAGAGGGAGGCCCAGGCCACTGGCCAGCGATGCCATGGCAGGTGTGCAGGGCTGGCCAGTGATCGCCCCACAGAGGGAAGCCCAGGCCAGCCAAGTGATCGCACCCCATGCGTCTCACCCACAGAGGGAGGCAACTGGTGGTGGGGGAGGTGTGGGCAGCTCTGCACAGATGGCAAGCAGTGGCAGTGGTGGGGCAGAGCCAGCTGTCGGCAGCTGGGGGATGGAAAGCCCCAACGTGCCCTGATCACTATCCAGGCCTAGGGACCTACCTGAGGGGTCCCAGACTGCAAGAGGGTGCAGGCTGGGTTGAGGGACAAGCCCCCCTGCACAAATTTTGTGCACTGGGCCTCTAGTTTACAAAATAAAGGGAGGAAGAAAGCCCAGAGGGAATAGGAGAACACTAAGGGGGAAGAAGGAGGGAACCTCACATACTTCATGTGGGACTTGAGCTCAGGAGTTGCTATAGTGACCAAATCAAAGGGGAATAGTGACCAATCAGAGGGGATATCAAGTCACAAAGATCTGTAGCCTTTATAAACTATAGGAAAGAGGGACTCAGTGGGACTCTTTGCCCCTCCCCACATGGGAATCTGTGCTTATTTCTCAATAAATTTCCACCTTTGCTATACCACCTTTCGTCTTCGACTCCATCAGACAAGAGCCCGGGAAGCCATCCTGCCCAGGGGAGCACCGCGAGTTTCCAATCCAAATTTCTGGTGTCACTATTAACCCCCTATAAATAATAGATCCTATCTTGGGAGGGTGTGATCTCTTCCCAGCTGGCCAACACTGGG